GAACTTTTACAGATAATTCATTATTAAAATTACATAACTAACACCACTAGAGACATATTAAATACATGTTTCAAAACAGAGCAATGGAGGCAGTGAAGGCAGGATGTAAGTGAGTGATATTTGGTAATACATTTAAATTAAGCTCAGCGCAAGTTCTTGCAGGAAGACTGGGTATATATACATTCACTCCACAGCTGCATATAATCAGCTCATCACGGGCGTTATCTATAACCTATTACATTCACCTCATTCTCCAGCAGCCAATCACTGTGCTGCAGCCAAACTTTAAAATGGTTCTCCCCTCTCCTGCAGTCAGCTGTGATTTCAGGTTTTCATGCTGCCGCCCGCCTCCTCCCCATCCACCTCCTTTCATCATATCCAGTGCCAGGAGAGTTAATCCAAAGACCTCATCACACCTCCTCTTCATCCCATCTCCTCATCAAATCCAGATCTTCAGCATCATCACCAGTGTCTAGACCCCGGGGGGTTCCCTATATGCTCATGGCTGCATTTCCCCCTTTAGATATACGATTTCAGGATTGGGGTCTAATCGCCAAAGACTTAAGATTTATCATATGGCATTTGTCAATAAATGTTCTTTAAACAAAATGAAGTCTCTCCTGATTGAACTGTCTAATGATACTGAGGAGGGCGCTGTCCTGAACTTGCTGGCTCTGGAAATAATGTCCTGGTAATGTTTTCCAGAAGGTAAAAGACTTTGGGATGAGTGGTCTTGGAAGATTCTGTGGGCCTCCTTCAAGTGTCTCCTGTGGTAAATGTCCTTGAGGGTTGGTCCTGTATTGCCTGTGAGAAACTATGTTGTTTACATCACCTGCTCTACAGCTTTACAGTCCAGGGTGGTGCAGCTCGGACACCACACAGTGATGCACTCTCAATGTAGCACATGTAGAAGGTAGTGAGGATCTACGGAGACAAGCTGGATTTAAAAGTCAACATCACGCAACATTGCTGATCTAAAGGAACCTGAAACTGCTGACTGTCTCCACTTAGTGAATATTGATGAGAATGGGGTGGGG